AAATTAAACATTCACACGGTATTGATCAGACACAGAATATACCCGAATTAGACGTATTGGTCAACATTTACTGTACATTCTCAGCTGATCATGCGTCGACCAATATTTAATTTTCATTGCAACCTGCAGTCCAAATCCTTTATTCAAACAGGTGTTGTACTGTCATATATGTTCAACTATTCAGGTTAAACTATTCAGGTTTTCAGGCTCTAATCCAATGTGGCAAAACCTTGGGTTTTCGAGGACCAGATGGCCCATTTTGGGCTTCCCATTAAAATCGTCACATAATTTTTTGTGTGGTGAAAAATTTGTACATTCATTCTGTTTGAGTCATACATTTTTTAGAACAGTGTTTCCCAACCGTTATTAAGCAAAGGCATCCATCTTTTGGATCATGTGGCAGAACCTCATCAAAAAAGTCTCAAAAAGAAGGAATACTGAAATAATGGAGAACTTGTTTTGGCCAGTGGGGGTGCAGAGAATATATTGTAAAGGACATTTTCGACTTGACTTTGTCCCAAATTGTGGTCGGATGTATTTGTAGGACTTTGAATACTCTTCCACAGATGCATCTTGCCCTTATCAAAAATCCATTGCATCAGTCAATATAACAGAGTTTGTCCAAGTAGCAATCTTTTACCCTGTTTTCTCTGGCTCCTTTGGGGTTATACTTACTAGGAGCTATATCAAACGAATAGCCTCCTTGAAAGCAGGTGTTGTTGTCCCCCTTATGGAAAATGCAGTTTGAGGTGGTTCGCACTCCTTTCCCGAGTGCTGTCTTTCCAGCTGACAAACTATCATCCATCCATCCTTCTGTCCGTCCACCCATTCGTCCATTTTCTTCCATTTCTCCGCCATCTGGTCACGGGGCAGCAGCTTTAGCGGGGAAGTCCAGACTTGCCACTCCCCAGCACTTCATACAGCTCTTCTGGAGGAATCCCAAGGCGTTCCAAGGCCATCCGTGATACATGCTGTAGTCTCTCCAGTGTGTCCTGGATCGTACCCACGCCCTTCTCCCGGTGAAACATGATCACCATGGAGGCGTGCTAATCAGTTGCCAAGCCACCTCATGTCGCTTCTCTCAATGCGGAGGAGCAGCAGCTTCACCCCGGTCATCCGTGCGAGCAAGCCTCTCAACTTGTCTCTATATGAAAGCCCCGACACCCTGTGAAGGAAACTCATTTCAGCCGCTTGTATCCAGGATCATGTTCTTTTGGTCATGACCCACAATTTGTGACCATAGGTGAGACCATAGATCGAGCGGTAAATCAAGAACTTGGCTTTTGGTTTAGCTCCTTCTGCACCACGACAGACCAATACACAGCCCGCATCACTGCAGACACTGCACCGATCCGCTCTGATCGCTTGTGAACAAGTCGCCAACACACTTTTTTGGAGGTGCTCATCCAAACTGCAACGACCACTCTGATTTGTCAATCCAGAAGAACTGCGCCCGATGTTCACGCGACGTTACAGACACGTGTCAAACAGGACAGACCCACAAAATCCAGAACCTTCAGGAAGTCCGGGCAGATCTCCTCCACCGCTCTGGTTTTTTCACCACCTCAGCAACATCAACCCCAGAGATAGAAGAAGAACCCACCTCACAGTGCCCAGACTTTGCTTCCTCAAAGGAAGGTGTTTCAGGGGAATTGAGAAGTCTTTGAATTATTCTCTCCACATACTCACAGTGTCATCAGTACCCCACTCTATTATACAGAGAGTTAATGGTGCACTGCTTCCCCTTCCTGAGACACCGGATTGTGGAACAGAATTTCATTGTCCTCCCAATCACACCCTTCCAGGTCTCAATGTCATTGCCAATGTGAGTATTGAAGTCCCCCAGCAGAATGACGGACGTCCCGAGAGGGAACACTCTCCATGACGTACTCCAAGCACTCCAATAACTGTGGCTACTCTGAATTGCTGTCGCCATCTCAGCACACAGCAAATGTGTGCAACAAATAATAAAAGTCGAACCTCAGCTGTATTTGCATTTTCTTCTTTTCAAATTCTCCTCATGAAGAAATTGAAACGTTGATTTGACACATGTGATGACGGAGCGGGAAAGGAAAATGGGACGGAAAAAGACTGAAATGCAAAGTGAATACACATGCTGTGAAATAATTGTCACACACAAACATTGGTCTCCGCTGAAGCCACCTCGACGAGTAGAAGAGGCGTTGTCTTGCATTCGTGCTGTCTAATCATCATCTCACCAGTCTGCTCAGAACCGATCGGGGGAAGGAGCCTCAATGCTTAGTATGTCTCTGCACAATTGAAGCACATTACCATGATGCAAGTATGATATGTCAGTAGCCATGTGTCGTGCAATTCACATGAGTTCTGGCAGCCCAAGCTGCCTTCATCGCCAATCCACAAGACACAAATGAGCACACTTTGGCTGGCTCAGTCAAATGTAGTCAGAGATAAACAACATCAAACCAGATAATCTACAGTGAGTTAGGAAATGTAGGTCACTTGGTCCTGCTTTTAAAATCTGTTGCTGTGATCTGGCAGCTTAATTAAATTATTTTAATATTTAAAACCAATGATTTTGAAAATTGGTTAGCATCATTTAATAAAAATGATGAATTTTAGAAAATTATCTTTTTTTGTAATCCTCTTGATGATTATTATTTAACATCTGAAGCATCACAACACTGAGTGTAATCAGTCAAAACACTATTCAACATTTAATTTGCCTTTAGAACAACTTTTGATGAAAAGCATCACCCATGTCACTCTTCACATGATCACAATTTTCTAAGATAGCAAATATCCATCCATCCATTTTCTGATCCGCTTATCCTCAGGAGGGTCGCGGGCATGCTAGGGCCTATCCCAGCTGTTTTCGGGCAGTAGGCGAGGGACACACTGAACTGGTTGCCAGCCAATCCAGGGCACACATAGACAAACAACCATTCACACGCACAAGGACAATTTAGAGCAGGGGTGTCAAACATACGGCCTGCGGGCCGGAACCGGCCCGCAAGTAGGTTCAATCAGGCCCGCAGGATAATGTAAAAGTGAAAAAAATGCATTAAAGACACAGAATTAATATTTTTAATCAGGTGCAATTCATTGAGTATCCGCAAGGGGACACTGTTTTGATCAGAGAAGAAGACAACAGCAGCCTCAGTCTGTCACTGAGACAGACCCATGGCATCAGACGCTATCAATAGCACTCTCACATTTACACATTTAATAGCACTCTCCTTAGTTTGTAAGGTGTAGGCAGGGATTACATTTAGATTTTATATGCACGTGTAAATGCTTTAAAACTTGCTTTCTTTATGAATCTTGTTTAATCTTAAAGTGCATTACTGTATTTTTCAATACCAATTACTTGTTAAAGTTTGTACAATCAGTGGGATCAGTTGCAATGCATATATGTGAATGATAAAAGTAAATTGCACATTTGTCGAAGGAAATGTAAGGTGCTTCATGAAATGTTTTGTCAAAGATATGTTCATTAAATTTCAACATTTTCCGAATGTTCTTGTGCTTCTTTATACCTAAACAAAGGAAAGACATATTGTTTTGGTTATTTATAGCAAAGTATTGTATCATTTTAATGGTCCGGCCCACTTGACATCTACCGAGGCCGTATGTGGCCCACCATGTGAAATGAGTTTGACACCCCTGATTTAGAGTGTTTATTATTTATTATTATCCTACGGCGCATGTTTTTGGAATGCGTGAGGAATCCGGAGTACCTGGAGAAAACCCACGCAGGCACAGGGAGAACATGCAAACTCCACAGAGGAAGGCCTGGACTAGAACTCTGCACATCTGCACTGTGAGGCGGACGTACGAACCAGTCACCCACTGTGCAGCCCAGATAGCAATTATTGAAGCCAAAATGTATTCAAACTGATTATTTTAAATTTCCCATTTACTCACAGTGATTTCTGGACAGGTCAATTTGGGCCAATTCATTTTTCTCCTTTTTGATAAATATGTCCTGTGTGGTATGGGGTTCAGAACCGAAATGCTGAGAAGCAGTGAGGGGAGGCAAGTGTACTCTCAAAAGAATAATAATTTAATTTAAAAAGAACCAAAAAAGCAAACAAGGCACTGGAATTAATAATTTTAAAAAGCTCTAAAACAGGGGTGCCCATTACGTCGATCCTGATCTACCGGGTGATCTGAAAGGCATTGTGGGTAGAACAGGTCGACCTCCGTCCTGACAATGACATTCGAACTTTCTCTGCCACACGCGTCATTGCGCATGCGCATTCAACTCCGCTAATTACTGCAAAACTCTCGTAAGTTTGAGAATAAGACAGGAGATAAATATGAGTGGAAAAGCCGGACTAAGTAAAAAGCCAAAGACCTACCACTTCCATAAGGAGTGGGAGGAGGACTTATTTTTTACAATGTCGTTTTCAAAGTGCATTTGCCTCATCTGTCACTCTCCAATGACTTTTCAGAAGAAGGGAAATTTGGAGCGCCATTTTCGGATTGTTCATAAAAACTCTGACGCCGAGTTCCCGCCAAAAAGCGAAGAGGGAAGGAGAAACGTGAAGGAACTAAAATCCCAGCTGTCTGGACAACAGTCATCTTTCACACAGCGAACTTCAAAGGCAAGGGCAGCCACTGAAGCATCGTTCCGGGTGAGTCACTTCATCATTAAAAACAAGAAGTCCTTCCAAAATGGAGAGATGGTAAAAGAAGCATTTGTTGAAGCAGCCGACTTGTTCAGAGACTTTGGAAACAAATCAGAAATACTAGCTTCCATCAAAGCTCTCCAGCTATCAAGAACTACAATTAACACGGCGCAGTGAAGCCATGGCTGAGGATTTGAACCAGCAACTTTGGAAGGACATCGCAGATTGTGATTGTTTCTCACTGCAGTTGGACGAATCTACAGACGTGAGTGACACAGCACAATTGTGCATTTTTATTCGGATGGTGTTTACTGACATGACTGCGAAAGAGGAGCTGTTAACAATACTGCCCATGAAAGAACACACACGAGGGGAGGACACACAGTCTTTCAAAAACGTTATTGAGAAAACCCACCTCCCAGTCTGCAAATTGGTGTCCATAACCACAGATGGCGCACCCGCCATGTTTGGCCGCTCGAATGGATTTATCACCAAGTGCAGGGAGGATGATGATTTTCCAGACTTTCTCAATTACCACTGTATTATACACCAACAAGCATTATGTGCAAAAATGCTCAACATGAAAGAGATAATGGATGTGGCAACAAAGATCGCCTGCTCAATTCGGGCCAGATCTCTTCAAAGACGGCTGTTCCGTGCACAGCTGGAGAAGGCTGAGTGCGACCACTCTGAGTTGTTGCTGCACACCGACATGAAATGGCTAAATCGGGGAATTTCCTGCAAAGATTTCGAGAGCTTTTGCTGGAGATTAAGATGTTTTTCTTTGAAGGTAAACATGCAGATTATAGACAACTATATGACCATCAGTGGCTGCTGGATTTGGCATTATTAACCGATCTGACCAACATGTTGAATGACCTTACTCTGGAGCTGCAAGGAAAGGACAGAACTGTGATCAATATGATCAGCTCAGTTCATGCTTTCAAACGAAAATGAAACATCTCTCCTCAAAGCTCCACCACCATGATTTGACAAACTTCCAGAACCTTGCGGCAGAGCTGGAAACACAAGAGCAGTCATGTGCGCAGCTTGACGGTGCACGCTACATAAAGCAAATTGACAATTGTCTGTCAGAGTTCGACAGACACTTTCAAGACTTTGCTTTACTCGAGCCAGTAGCTACATTCATGTGCTACCCTTTCCAGAAAGATGCTGAGGTTGTTTCACTGGCATCAAAAGTTGCAACACTGTTTCACCTGAACTCTTCTGGAGTGGAGGATGAGATTCTGACACTTCAAACCGACATTCAGCTGAAGGCCAGAGCTCATGGACAATTCTGGAACTTACTCCCAGAGGACAAGTACCCCAACATCAGGAAATGTGCTACCTTTTTGACCGCATTATTTGGCTCCACTTATTTATGTGAGTCAGCCTTTTCCCACATGAAGATCATTAAATCCAAGTACCGTTCCACCATGACTGATGAGCATCTGGAAATCTGCTTGAGGCTGGCTATCAGCAGCTACTGTCCGGACTAAGCGTCCCTGTCTGATTTAATTCAGTGCAAGTCATCAGAGTAAGATGATTACAAAACATTTATTTGTTGTATTGTGCTATACAGGTTGATACAATCATGCATATCTATAATGTACAAATAAAAAGAATTCTAAATATATTTATAAATAATGTGTTTTTCATTTTTAACAGGCAGTAGATCATTTTGACTCGGTCATGTCATAAGTAGATCTCAGGGCGAAAAAGTGTGGGCACCACTGCCCTAAAATAACAATGTCCAAAATGAGAAACAAAATAACAAACCAAGACCAGGAATAAACTTACTAAAAACACAAACCAGACATGACTCAGGGAAAACAGGACACACATGAGCAGGAAACCCGATGTAACTAAGACAACGACAATGAACCAACAAGGACTGGGGGAAAAAAAACAAAAACAAAAAAACAAAAAACGGAACCAAATACAAGCCAAACTGACGAGACAATGAAAAACACCTGGACAAGACCCATGTGGTGAGAGAGCTGATTGGAAGACACAAGAGACTTGGTTGACAAGCTCAGGTGAACAAATAACCTCACGAGACACACAGGACACAAGGAATACATGACCAAACTAACCAAAACCAAAAATCAACAATATACCATCATAGGTGGTTTGAAAGTTTTTGAAACGTATACAACGTGGACAGGTGTGAAACTGGTTTGACTGCTGTGTGCATGGCTGATGTTGCTCACCGTCATCCAAGGAATGCTCAGGGAGTTTTTGTGAATGCTTAGACACAAAATTAGAGAGAACATTGCTCTCATCCACAGAGGTGAGCCCCAAAGTATGGGCTCCAAGTAAGTAAGTATGCCGTCACCTGCATGGCACCTCTCACTATGAGCAACTCCAGAGTGGAAGAGAGCCCAACTTCTCTCGAGAGGACTGGTACCAGAGCCCAAGCTGTGAATGGAGGCGAGCATGACTAAGAAGCCTAGGATCAGAGTCCCAACTTCCCCACTTTAAGCCACCTTCCAGCTCACAGTGTACCCGAGACGTTGGCCACTCCCACAGCTGGTGAGCCCATATGAAGGGTGACCCATGTTGCCATTTTGGGCTGTACTCATCTGGGGCCCATGGGTACAGGAATCGAGCCCCACCTTCAGGCTAGACACCAGAGGGGTGCCCCGGTGACAAGCATGCGGGCAAGGGAAAATAAAGTCCAATATTATCACTTATCATAAGGGGTCTGTGAAGCATGCTTTTTCTGGTCCCTCACCTAGCACCCGTTTGGTATTGGTGACCCTAAAGTCCCACACTTTGCTCTTATGACCATTGGGTCACACAAACCCCTCCACCACGATAAAGTGACAATTCACGGGTGTCACGTCGTGAGGTGGTAGTGGACCCAAAAAGCAGGCAAGAGGGAGGAGCAGGGTGTATTGATAAACTCAGAGAAAACGAAAATCCAAAACAAACAAAGTCCAAAGTATCAAACAAAACACATGACTGAAGATAAAACATAACACTGACCAAAACATGAATGAAACAAACATGACAGCAAACAAACATGACAGTAGCACAAAGCAACAATGACCCGACACCGAGTGTTCGGGCTGGGAGTCTTTTTAAAACACTAATTACATAATGACCAACAGGTGTGCAGCTGCAGGGAGAGCCCTACAGTGCCACCTGTTGGTCCCAAACCGAATCATGACAACGGGGGAGCAAAATGTCATTCACAATTTCTGTATTTAATCTTAGATACTCATGTTACTCCCTGAAATTCATCAGGATGTTTTGTGGATGGTTTGCCCTCATTAAAAAGCAGGAACAGAGCAGAGGCAATTAAATGATATCATCCATCCATTCATCTTATCTGCTGATCAGCACACATGCTACAGCCTATCCCAGCTGACTTCAGGCAGTAGGCGGGGTCCACCCTGAACTGTTTACCAGCCAATCGGTGGGCACACATAGACGAACAACCATTTGCGCTCACAATCACACCTGGGGACAATTTAGAGTCTTGCATTGTCACAAAAGATCTAATAGATAATTTATTTATTCATTCTGTCACTATAATTTGCTGGCATAGATCGATGGACAAAGATATATTATTTGTTTTTAATAAATCATTTTCTCACCAATTAAGGAAAAGTTCCGTGGGTCATTTGGTACCAGGCTGCACAGAAAGAATAAATAACTTAGATTACTTCCATTTTATTTATTTCAGAATCTGAAAGATGTTTTATTTTGAAAGATTACCGGATTCTCTGTTACATCCGTCTATAGTATGTCAAGGCGCACTTCACGGTCACATGATAGGTTACCACTAAAATAAAACCAAGGAGCTAGTAAAATGAGTAAAAAACAAACATATTTGGAAAGTTTCTTTCGGAAGGGGAAAAGGCCCAGCTAGGAGGAGGAGCCTATGACTTTCAAGAAAAATAAGGCTACGTTTAATAGACGGTATCAGGAGTCCTACTTGAAATACAGATTTATCTCAACGGGAGATTCCCATGCACCAAGCCCACTCTGCATAATATGCGGCGATGGTGAGTTGTATTTTTCATGCACTTTGTATTTGCGGCATATCTTATTTTGAAGGCTCCTTTAAAACCACAGAGCGTTGCGGCAAGATAGGACGTTCCTCGTGTCATGATTCGTGTTTATTATTATGTTTTGAAAATACCACAGTGTTCATGCAGGTCATATCATATTATTTTGTGTTTATCTGTCACACCTTGAAGGCCGGTCCCTGAAAATATTGTCTGACATTAAACCGGTCCATCGGGCAAAAAAGGTTGGGGACCGCTGTCTTCAGATATCGATGATTAATCAAAAAAGTTGGGTTTGACATTTTATTACCTATGATTTTTAAATCATGATAAGACATTTTTTGACAATGCTTCCAAGTTTGTGGGAGAAGTCTGAATTAGGCCCTTTTTTCCTCCCGCACAACTATACTATGGTGCACAAAGGAAGGTGCATGAATAGAAATGTGTGGCTTGGCTCAGCAGCGATCTAAGCCACCCATATCCATAAAAGCATGCTTGAATGAGTTTGGTGTGGAAGACCTTTATTGGCTGCACAAGCCCTGACCTCACTGAATAAGAACAGAGAAAAGCATCTGATCCACCGGACCAAAACCTTTCAGTGATCTTAAAATTAAATGTTTTGTTAAATTTTCAGTTCATGTTGGGTATAATAACCATGTGCCTTGATACTTGTGCCTTTATGACAAGTATATATGATATATGATATATATATATTTTTTTATTTGTGTTTTCTTATTTATTCATGACCAAAAGAATTGCTATAGAGTTGAGGACTCAACACTGAGGTCACCCGGTCAAAATACACGGGGAAACAAGTTCAATCCATTCTGAGGCACTATACTACATTTGACAACCACTCCCTGGTGGGTGACTATAAAAAATAAAATATGAGGATATATTTAGCTGCATATTATACAATAAAAAAATCCATAAAGATGACAGTGAAATATGAGGGAAGAGTTGTAATATAATTATACTTCATCATTACTGATATGAGTGTGAATATGTAAGCCTTGGAAGGGGAGTTAGACATCAGTCATGGGAGCAAATTGTTCTGGAAATGCTTTTATTGAAATATCTAATTTAACAGTGACTTTCTGCAAGTGTTCCCTTCAAAACTACAAAAATCAGCGACATTGATTTGAATGTGATTAGCTGTATTATTACATTTCATTGTGCTCACAAGGCAGCGCCTGATTTTTAATCACAAGCGGTGCCTTTCTGAATAATGCAAAAGGTCTCTGTTAAGACGCAATAGGTCAACATTTCACTGGAGCAGCGGCTTTTAAAGCGGGAGGCTCCCATCCATGGAGGGCACCAGAGTACTTTGCCGGTGGCAGTGTTACGGCCCCTAGTTGCCGGTTTGGTACTTTTTGTGTCCAGGCGGAAAGCCAGACTCCTCTCCAGCCGATCCGCTGCATCAGGAGTGGGGGTTCCCCCATCGTTGGACACGCCCCTTGTCACCTGTGTCACTCCAGAGGGGCTGCATCCAAATCTTTCTCCAAGTTCAGGGTATATATCGTACTGTGGTGAGCAATTGATTTTCCCAAATTGGCCACATGAAAACTTAGAACATTTGCCAAGGGCCATGCCAACATGCTCACCTCATATTTGTCTATATTCTTTTTAATGTATTTTTTGTGTGTTGTCTTCTTCATATAGATTGGTAGTTGTTGATATGGTCTGTATTGTTATAATTAGGAAGTAAAAATTCCAAACAAAATTATAATAAGTCATGAAAATTACATTTTTTTACACTTCAAACTTTATAACATGCACCACCCGCCAACTCATATTAGCTATTCCTTTTCAGGACTCCAAAATACTTAGATACAGTACATGGGAAGCATAATATGATTGACTGTGATGTATAATGATACAATAATGACGAATAATAAATCCAATATGCACATCATATGAAACTGTAAATTTGTGTACAATATTATCAGGCCAAGAAAATGCTCTTGGCCCTCGTTCCTCCACTGTGCAGAAAGTAAAAACATTGCTAATGTTAGGATCACTGTTGTCATTTTATTTCTAGTCTCTCTTTTGGAACAGTAGTTACTGAAGAAGTCAGAAAAGTCGGTAATGTAGTCAAAAGTTGCCAACAATGCAGACTCAAGTTGTAGCTTTTTTACTCCACAAATGTGCACATAAAATAAAAGGACAACTTTCAAAATAATAGTACCGCATATTTTACAGACTAGTTGGACTTTTTAACATTGCTGTGAGACTTGGTGAGAGACTACGGGGGAGCTAGATGTGGCCTCCAGGCCATACTTTTCCCAAGTCTACTAGGCTATGGGTGCACCAGTGTCCCCCAGTGTGGCCGACATATACACTACATGGAAAAAGTTGAAAGAAAACCACTGAAGTCCTCCAGAGGAATTAGGCCCAGCCACTAGATTGGTTTCCTCTTTTTTTTTCTTGATGATTTTATTACA